CAGGTGTCGTCATGCAAATCAAGGCAGAGCCTGCCTTTGTTTCTTCAGTTTTGGCGCCTTCCTCTTCCTCTCCCTCTTCCTCTTGCTGTTCTGCTTCCGATGGAAGGCCCGATGGAGCGGTGGTGACCGTTCTAGTGCAGGTGACGACTCGGCAGTCGGCGGTGGCATCTTCGGAAGGGTTGTACATTGCCACAAAAGAGATGTTGTCCCGACTGGTATACANCAGTCGGCGGTGGCATCTTCGGAAGGGTTGTACATTGCCACAAAAGAGATGTTGTCCCGACTGGTATACAACTCCTCAGCATCTTTGTTCGGTGGAGGTAACCCATTGAAGTTGCTGTAGGCATTCTTCCACTTTTCTACTACGTCATTGCAACTAAGGTTAGCGGCATCGACGATTTGGAACGCGTATGTTCCGCTCATAAATTTTTTTCCAGCTTCTACATCGGAGCTCTTGCCTGCTGCTTCTTTCTGAGGAGAGCAAGACAGCGAGGGACTGCCGTACTTATTCAGAGGCTGCGTACCTCCTAAGAACACGGCGAAAGAGGTAACTAACTTACTGGTATCAAGACATCGCAAACCGGCCTCCAAACCCATGCATCATATTCGCCGGAATCTTTCACTCCTTGCTCAGGCAGCCTCTTCTCCTTCGCATCCGCTTGAGGTACTACGAAATCATTGAAACCGGTCTTCTTACGAGCAGCGTTGATCTCCGAGAGGCAAGCGCCATCTTCTCCTGCAGATGAGGGGATAAAATAGTGCCGTAACGAGCTTCCTGATTTGCTCAGCAACCGTTTTCTGAAGCCTTAAAATTTACACTGACAACTGACCAAGTTGGCAGTGCTTGCCTGGTCGCCAGATTTGTAACCAGGACAGCACTTCAAGCATTCAACGTCACCCATGGCCAGCCAACGTACCCAATTTGACATCATATGTTGTTGTTGCCGTGGGTGTTGTGTCTGGTGGTTGAGGCGGTTCGCTACCGCTTACATCAATTTTATCAAAGAGGAGAAGCGAGGCACCGACGACAGTGAGCAGTCTGAGAGCCGGCATTGCTGCCATATATGCTGGAGGCCCCGATATGCGCACTTAAAAACAAATGTTGAATCCTTCCACCACAAAAAAATCTCCAAACTATTTATGAAGAAGGGATGCTTGGCAGCGTGAATTGCGACGGTGGCTTGATTCGTTTTCTTGGCCTCGGATGCGATCAACGGGAGGCGTGTCTTGCTGTGCAGGCCAAGAGCGAAGCCAGGAATGGCAGCTTGTTCATCGTCGGAATCAGAGGCAGTAGAAGTGTAATTTGTTTTATATTTTAGATAATGACTTTGTAATTTGTTGGGCAAGGCGATCTGTAACATCGCTTGAGGCACACACTTTGATAAAGCCGGCTATGCCGAGCAGTTCTCCGCCGACCAGGCCGCCAGTAGCTTTGCCTTGAAGGCGTGCCCGTGCACTTGTAAAATTTTTGACCCGACAATTTACCCAACAAAAAACGGCTGACTAGTCATATTGACGCAATCCTTGCACTGATTGACGAGGACAAGAGAAAGCGCAACACGTGCCGGGCACTGTGTGACTCGACCCTAAAGGTAAACGCGGTAACGAAGGCTTTCATCGTAGCTGATGCTGCAAAATCATTCCTCCGTCTTCGAACAGGCTTTCCTTATGCTGTAACTGTGTCAAAACGCTTAGGATAGCAAAATTGCCCGAGAGGTGCTGGCCACCACTTCTGCCCGTTGTTTCATGGGCACCGTGGCGGAAGGGCGTGGGGTTGATGATGCGGAACACAAGCACCAGACTTTGTCACGAATTGCAGCACCTGTTGCTGCAATTCGTGATGTAAGCTAAACCCACATTCACCCATACCCGACCCTCCTGATGCTCACTGTACATAATTGCCAAGCAGTTCATTGGCCCTTAATAACTACTTCATAGTATCGCTGTCTCAAAACGCTGCCGCAACGCCAAGCAATGCTGCGACAAGGCCGAGGAAAGTGGGCAAGACAGCCGAGGCGGATCCTTCGAAGGCGGTGACGATCTGCCCCCACTGTTCCTCTCTGCACAACGCACACCGACAAAGCAAGGAACTGCGACGTAGAGGACGCCTAAGGAGCAAGGAGGAGACGCTGACTTCAGAAGGCTTACGTGAAAGGAGGGTTTTCACTGTTGTCGGGAAGGACGTCAGGTGTCGTCATGCAAATCAAAGCAGAGCCTTCCTTTGTTTCTTCATTTTTGGGGGTTTCTTCTTCCTCTTCCTCACCCACGTCAGATAACACTCCCTGTGGAGTGGTGGTGATCTTCCTAGTGCAGGTGACGACTCGGCAGTCGGCGGTAGCATCGTCGGAAGGGTTGTACATGGCTACAAAAGAGATGTTTTCCCGACTGGTATACAACTCCTGGCTATCCGTGTTCGGTGGAGGCAATCCATTGAAGTTGCTGTAGGCATTCTTCCACTTTTCTACTACGGCAGTACAGCTAGGACTAGCGGCGTCAACGACTTGAAATGCGTATGTGCCGCTCACGAATTTTTTTCCAGCGTCTGTGTCGGAGCTCTTGCCTGTTGCTTCTTGCTGAGGACACCAAGACAGCGAGGGATTGCCGTACATGTTGAAACGCCGCGTACTTCCTACGGAGATCACGGCGGAAGAGGTAACTAACTTACTGGTATCAAGACATCGCAAACGGGCTTCCAAACCCATTCTGCATAGTTATCGGAATCTGGCTCTCCTTGCTCAGGCAGTCTTTTTTCCTTCGTCTCCGCCTGAGGTATTACGAAATCATTGAAACCGGCCTTCTTACGAGCATCATTGATCTCGGAGAGGCACGTGCCATCTTTTCCTGCGAAGAAAGGGATAATATAGTTCCATAACGAGAGCCCTGATGCTCTTAGTAACCGTTTTCTGAGGCGTTAAAGTTTACACTGGGCGCTGACCAAGTCGATGATACTAGCCTGCGTGGCGGGGTCTGCAAGCAAGGCAACGCTTCAAGCGTTAAACACCACCCACAACCTGGCAGCCTACCCAATTTGACAGCATATGTAGTTTTTGTCGTTGTTGGTGATGTTTGAGGCGGTTCGCTACCGTTCGCATCAGCTTTAGCCAAGAGGAGGAGCGAGGCACTGACGACCGTGAGCAGTCGGAGAACCGGCATTGTTGCCATATGTAAGTTGGAGTCTCCGAGATGGGCACTTAAAAACAATTTGTTGAATTCTTCCACCACAAACAATCTCCAAATTATATAAGAAGAAGAGATGCTTGGCAGAATGGAGTGCCACGGTGACTTGATTGGTTTTCGTTGGCTCAGGTCAGGTCAAAGCGGGGGTGCAAGAGAGGCGTGTCTTGCTGAGCGGGCCGAGAGAAGCCGCGGTTGGCAGCTTGTTTCTCCTCGCAATCAGGCAGCAGAAGTGTAATTTGATTTATATTTTACATAATGACTTTGTAATTGGTTGAGCAAGGCGATTTGCAACGTTGCTTGAGGCACACACTTTGGCAACAGCCGGTAACGCCAAGCTGTCTCCGACGGCCAGGCCGTTAGAGGCTCTGCCTTGAATGCGTGTCTGTGCACCTGTAAAATGTTTGATCCAACCATTTGGTCAACAAAAGACTGCTAACTAATCATATTGAAGATATCCTTGCATTCACTGTCAACGACGAGAGAACGCCTGCAACACGCGCCGAACAGTCTGTGACTCGACCGTAAGGTTACCGAACTAACGGAGGCTTTCATCTTAGCTGATGCTGCAAAATCATTCCTCCGTCTTCCCACAGGCTCACCCCATGCTGAAACAGAGTCAAAACGCTTAGGGTAGCAAAATTGCCGGAGAGCAGCTGCCCTACCCGTCAGCCCGGGGTTTGATGGGCAGAGTCGCCGAGCCGCCTAGGGTTGATGATGCGGAGGACAAGCACCAGGTTCTATCACGAGTTGCAGCACATATTGCTGTGATTGCTGGTGCACCTATTGCTGCAATTCTTGTTGTAAGCTAAATCCATATTCACTCATATCCAACCATCCTGCCGATGCATGCTCACTGTACATAATTGCCAAGCAGTTCATTTGTTCTCAGTAACTACCCCATAGTATCGCTGTCTCAAAAAGCGGTCGCAACGCCAAGCAATGCTGCGGCAAGGCCGAGGAAAGTGGGCAGAACAGTCGAGGCGGTTCCTTCGAAGGCGGTGACGATCTGCCCCCACTGTTCCTCTCTGCACAACGCACACCGACAAAGCAAGGAACTGCGACGTAGAGGACGCCTAAGGAGCAAGGAGGAGACGCTGACCTCAAAAGGCTTACGTGGAAGGGGGGTTTTCACTGTTATCCGGAAGGACGTCAGGTGTCGTCATGCAAATCAAAGCAGAGCCTTCCTTCGTTTCTTCAGTTTTGGTGTCTTCCTCCCCCTCTTCCTCACCCACGTCAGATAACAGGCCCGCTGGAGCGTTGGTGATCTTCCTAGTGCAGGTGACGACTCGGCAGTCGGCGGTAGCATCTTTGGAAGGGTTGTATATTGCCACAAAAGAGATGTTTTCCCGACTGGTATACAACACCTCAGTATCCTTCTTCGGTGGAGGCAATCCACTGAAGTTGCTGTAGGCATTCTTCCACTTTTCTACTACGTCAGTGCAACTAAGACTAGAGCATTGACGACCTGGAACGCGTATGTACTGCTCATGAATTTTTTTCCGGCATCTACTCTGGTGCTCTGGCCTGCTGCTTCTTTCTGAGGACAGCAAGATAGCGAGGGATAGCCGTACGTCTTGAAACGCCGCGCACTTCCTACCGAGATCACAGCGAAAGAGTTAACTAACTTAGTGGTACGACCCCCGCAAAAGGAAACTAAAAT